CCGGGGCCGCCGGCGAGGGGCGCGGGGCGGAGGGCGGCCAGCCCCGCTCTTACCTTCCGCCGTCCTGCCCGTGCTGAACTCCTTCAGTTTGTCCTTGTCGCTCTCTACGTGGTCTTTGAAAAGATGCACCGGGCAATGGTTGCTGCTCTCGGTCATGTCCTGCAGGTTAGAGTCAGAGTTTCCAAGCTCCCTAGAGCGAGCCAACCCACTCTCCAAAACTTCCCTGTACGTGATCGTCTCCTTCTTGTTGCTGCTGCCACTGCCGCCGCTGCTCTCTTTGCTTTTCTGGTCAAAAGATTTGGATACAAAAGCCGTAAGTTCTTCCATGGCTGCCCGGTGATCTTATCCACAGAGATCCACTTGTTTTCAGTCGGAGATGTGGCCGTCCTCCGCACGCTGTTTTTGCACGTAGAAGATGGGCTGTATAGGGTTAGATCACTCCTGCTGTTATTTATGCCTTTCAATTTGAGATCACACTATTTATACATGGCTACCTCAGCCCAACCCCCAGCTCTCCCTGTCTCCAGCAATTACTGACTGCTCCATAGTCGCAGGCGGACTCCTAGCAGCTATCTCCCCCACCTCAGTCCAGCAATTGGCTTTCTTTTCATTTCATCACTCTTTGGCATCTTTGCACCTTGATTTAGGGAGGCAAAGAGGCAAAAGCGAAAAAGAGGGGGAGAGAGAGAGAGAGAGGAATAAAGCGGGGGGGGGGGGGGGGGGAGAGGAAAAGATGAAAATAGGTATCTGCATTCTGTAAATGGGTTGCAGAAATGAAAGTCGAGGAAGACTTAATTGATTGTAAGGACATCCTGTGCGTGGCAACACCGTGAGTAAAAACGGACCCACAGCTAATCAAATAACTGTGCTCCTGCAATTAAATGTATCGCTGTCAAGAGGAAAAGAAACTGAGTGTTCAATAAAAAAGGTAATGAATAAAAAGCCGGAGATGTGCATTTGTTGTAATCATTGGGAATTCTACCTGATTTGCTATTTAGCTAATTTCGCTTAATTAAATGGTCAAAATAGTCAGCGAACCAAAAATGCGGCTTTGAAAGCGTTGCCGGTTGTGGCGGGCGGGTGGGTGCGCGGAGGGGACGTGTGCTGCACTTAAACAAGTTGCGAGGTGTCTCGGAGATCCGTGTCGGTGCGTTCGGAGGATTTGGGGGGGGGCTGCTCGGCTGGGGGGGGGGTCTGG